TACCTCCAAACTTCACATCTCCTCCAGCTTTAAGTTCCAGGCTTTGGAACATAGACCTTTTTCCCGTCATGTGTCGTGAGCACCCAGAGTCCAGGTACCATGACTGGTGTTTCAATTGAGCTGTTAAGGACATCTGCAACAAATATTATTTTATCCTTAGGTACCCATATGTTTTTGGGTCCTTTTGGGTTAGCATAAGAGTTTCCAGAATGTGATGTATATTTTATATCATGTGAGTGTCCAAACTTGAATTGCTTATTCAGAGGTTTGTAAGTGAAGGTCATTTTAGCAACAGGTTTTGGAATGTATGTCTCCTTCCCTTTGGGAGGTTCATATCCAATTCCTCTTCTGTTTTTCCCACTAACTCCATAGATCATTGAAGCCATCTTGCTTCTGTCTATGCCTTTAGCAAGAAAAGATTGAAAGCTATAGTCATATTCTTTCAGAATATCTTTTGAACTAGACACAGACTCTGAACTAAAATTCTTTTGAACATTTTGAATTTCCTTTTTAAGTTTAAAATTGTTTTCTAAAAGTTCAGATTTTTCTGTTTCAAGTTTCCCAAGATCAGATGCAAGACTCTTCTTGAGTTTCTTGTATTTGAATTTGAGCTTACTATAGTTTTCCAGAAGTTCTGATAAACTATCAGCAAGTTCTTCTCTAGAAAATTCAGAAAATACCTCTCTTTGTTCTGACTCACAGTCCGAGTCATCTTCTGTGATAGCCATCAGAGCTAGGTTGACATTTTCATCTTCAGAACCCGATTCATCTTCAGAAGAATCTGAGTCATCCCACGTTGCCATCATTCCTTTATTCTTACCAAATCTCTTCTTTGATTTTTCTTTTTGAAGCTTTGGACAATCACTTTTGAAGTGACCAGGTTCTTTGCATTCATAACAGATAATTTCTCTTCTGTTTGACTTTTTGCATCCAGAAGATTCTGCTTTATCTTCTGACTTCTTGAAGTTTCTGAACTTCTTTTGTCTGTGCTTCCACAGATGATTGATCCTTTTGGAGAGCAAGGATAATTCGTCTTCTTCTGAAGCTGATTCTTCAGAGTTTTCTTCTTCAGCCTGAAAAGCGTTAGCATCAAATTTCTTAATTGATTTAAGAGCCAGAGACTTACCTTTCTTCTGAGGCTCATGCTCATCCAGTTCAATCTCATGACTTCTGAGAGCGCTGATGAGTTCCTCCAGAGATACATTATTCAGATCTTTTGACACTTTGAAAGCAGTGACCATTGGTGTCCATCTTCTGGGTAAGCTTCTGATGATCTTTTTCACATGATCTACTTTGGTATATCCTTTGTTCAAAACTCTCATACCAGCGATCAGAGTTTGAAACCTAGAGAACATTGCTTCTATAGACTCACTCTCTTCAACTTCGAAGGCTTCATACTTCTGAACCAAAGCCAGAGCTTTAGACTCCTTAACTTGAGTGTTTCCTTCATGAGTCATTTTGAGAGACTCAAACATATCATGCGCTGTATCTCTATTAGTGATTTTTTCATATTCAACTTTAGAGATAGCATTTAGAAAAATATTTCTAGCTCTATGATGATTTTTAAAATCAGATTTTTGTTGTCTATCCATATTTTTTCTATCCACTTTGTTTCCTTATGAATCTGTAGGATGTTTGTAACCATCCAAGACTATATCCCAAAGATCACTATCATGACCTAAAAAGAAACTTTCTAGTCTATCTTTCCAGTACTCAAAATCTTCTCCATCAAACACTGGAGGTTTGTTGTAACTATTATTGTTTTGTTCAGCGGCCATTGTGTTTTCTTCTGGATCTTTTCCTGAAACGGTTAAGTGTTGTGCTCAGAGTCAAGCTCTGATACCAATTGAAGGGGTAAGAAAACACTTAGAAGGGGGGGGGGGGGTTGAATAAGTGACTCTTTTCGTTTTCAATACAAAGCTCAAAACAATAATGGAAGAACACAGTTATTTTTATCCTGGTTCGTGTGAACTCAAACTACTCCAGTCCACTCTCCAAGGTGATTTCGCCTTTCTCAACAAGGACTTAATCCACTATAATCAACTTATTACAATTACACAATAACTGTTGTGACTAACAATGCACAAGTAAACTTACAAGTGACTAACACCACTAAGACTTAAATCTAGTCCTAGTCAGCTTGAGAAAACTGACCAACCTTGGTCTCTCAAGGAAGAAATACAGGAGTTTAATCTTTACAGATAATGAAATAGAGTTTGCTTCTAATCAAGCTATATCACAACTGTGATTTTTCACTTAGAATATAATGCACAAATTGTATGAACAAAGACTTTATGAGCTTAGAATCTTTCACGTAGTTTCTTGCTTCTAATTTGAAAATTGATTGGTTCACTTCGTTGTTCTTGTTGGCTTGCAATAAATGTCCTTCTATTTATAGTAGGAACAATAAGACCGTTGCTGCCTTCAGAAAAGATGGAGAGCATTAAATGCTTGCGTGTATCCTTGCAATATTCCATTTTCCAAGAAACTAGTTATAGGCACTTGGTTGCTTTCAGCCGTCTTTGTATTAATGAGCAAACGTCAGAATGTAATAACATGTTTCCTTTGCTTTGACAAGACAAGTTGGTTTTAACGTCGTTTTCAGAATTTGCTTCTAATGTCTTTAAGTTAGAACATGCTTCACTTATCTTCTAGGCAGTGCGTTGCTTGCTAAGAACTTGGTCAGTGCTTGCTTTCAAGTTATCTTCTGAGCAAGGAACCTGCTAAAAGTTAGAAGATATTTATAACAAATAAAGTGTATTACCAGAGTCAGCAGATGCGCTTGAAGAAAAGGTTCTTTTATCAAAGAACTTCTACATAATTTTTGCTTAGCACTTCATAATGTTTTCTGTCAGAACATTAACTGAGACATTCAAGCACATTCATCAGAGTATAAATTATCTTAAATATAATTTAGTTATCATCAAAACTCTTGAGATAAATCAGAACTAATCTTGTTCTTTCATTTGGTTCCTCGATTTGCGTTTGAAGAAGAGTCATTCTAAGAAGAAAGTTCTTGATGGTTGTCTTAATAATAAGATTGAGATTCCTTGGTGTGATATCATGACTCTTAAGGCTAACTACCCTGAGGATGCACCAGGGACACTGGAAGTTGTTTTAAGTTTTTTTTTAGTTTTACAAGACAAGTTTTTGGTGTTTCTGCTTAGTAGGTTTTGGATAACAATTATTGTATCATGCTAAGTTGTTGATTTTGTATGTTGTAGCTCGCAAGGAGGCCTTTGTTTTTTAGGGAGATCAATCCACATCCAAGGAAGCATCCCTTGTGGCAAGCAACATCAGACTTCATAGGTGGTACAAGCCAGCATTCATGGGTATAATAATTGAGTTTAATGCATATAATATAGTGCAAATCAATATTGTGTTATTGATGTCAGATAGTGAAAAACCAAAAACGCGCCATATATACACTCCAAGTGTTTGACAATATGTTCGACCCATGAGAATTTTTAGGAATTAGGTGTGTTCGAATACTAATGACTTCGTTGATTTTGGATCGTCGTATCATTTTAACCCTTCATTGTCCTCCAAATTCAGATTAATGTGAACGAAACATTTTAGCCCATTTTATAGTTTTATAATTTAAACATTTTAGCCCTATGCACTATTCTTACAACTGTTGTATTTGTATTTTGTAATTTCAGGTACCCTATGTATCATAAATTGTGTGGTTTAATTGTTCATCATTTGTGTAATTCAGGAAGCCGCATAGTTACAACAACAACCAAACAAGCATTAATTCATGCGACTGATCTTCCCTTTTGCTGAACATAAATCTAGGCCCATGATTGAAAAATCTGACAATGTTTCAACAATAACAAATAATAAATTACTTACGTTTCAAGATCTATGAAATCTCTCTTTCTTTTTTAGTGACATTGTTCAGAAAGTTTGACAAATCTAATGTGAGTTAGTTTATACATGGATTTTATTTTAGAAGCATGTTTCAAATTATTGTCTAGTTGCATGTCAGTGTTTGTGTTCAGGTATCTACTTTCTAGATTATTTGTGATGTTGGTTTTGTTGAAAGATTGTGTTATCAAATACTAACCTAATAGTAGAAAGCTTGAAGTGTGAAGTGTGTGATTTCTGTTTTGGACAAGGAGTAAGGTTTTTGATATATCAACTGGTGTGGTTAATGTTACAGCTATTGGTGTAGTTTATCAAGATAACAAGCTTGTATTTATCGTTTGGATAAGGTTTTGCTTCCTCTTGATTTCTTTGGATCTAAGGCTCCTGCTTCTACTCCAGTTGTTGCAAAAGTGATGTAAATGAATTCTGCAGCTACTACAAATACTAGAGTAAATCATGAGATAAACACAAAACAAGAATAAAATAAGAACTGAATGATTTCTTCCTAGGGTCCCCAAAGACAATAATGCCTTAAATACAAGATGGGATCCTAATGGATCAGCAAGATGAGCCTAGCCCGAAAAGTCAGAATTTTAAATAACATAATAATTACTATAACAACCGTATTTTATTTGAGCATATAATCTTTCATCCAATTGAGCTTATTTTTAATTCTTATGGGCCTGCTAATACTACTATCGGGTCCAGAAAAACCCTTATCCTCAAGGGTAGGTTTAATAACAGCATGTGTTAGGTTAAAAGATTGAGCCCACTTTGAAGGCTCGTTGTGGGGGTGAGATGTGCATGCAGAACTATTGGTAGGCTGGCAGTGTGGGACCCAGACATAACATTGGGAGGAGTATAAGCATGGGAAACAGGCTGACCATTATGATGAGAGTTACACGTGCTGTCTTTGGAACTCAACACTTTATTAAGTAAAACACGTTTGCCAACCGTAGAAGTACACGCATAATCTTGTAACTCCTTTTGTTCACCACATGCAAAACTTTGAGAAGAATCGCCATAACTTCCACCACTCTCTCTCTCGTTGGTGGTCCAGTAAACGTGTTTGAAACAACATCACGGTTCTGTGAAACAACATCGTTACCTGCTTCTGTTGTTGTAGTTGCTTAGACGTTTGAAGCTGTGTCTTCTTCTAATGAAGTAAAATCCGGATCTGGTAAGTTCTGAACTGTGGGTACCACTGTTTGATGAAGATCTGTGGAAAAAGAAATTGATTTGTCTTTGAACGCATGTATTGCATGTAGATCCGGTGGAAGAGGACAAAAAGGAGCCAGTTGATGTGTCCCGTGATACGCTTTCAACTGAGAAACATGAATGACGGAATGAATCTTTGAAAATGGTGGCAGCTCAAGGTCGTAGGCGACTAGTCCGATATGACGACGGATCCTAAAGGAGGCAAAATAGCATGGAGAAAGTTCCAATCCACCTTTTATTTGAACATATAATCTTTCATCTAATTAGACTTATTTTTAATTCTTACGAACCTGCTAACAAAAAGCACCTACAGCTGGTAAGGGAAAATCATCTTCTGCAAAAGATGAGGATGAGACAACAACACAGGATCAAAAAAGTTCTGGAGTAGTGAGTTTAATTGGAATTCAAGGAACAATAGTTCCCCTTATAAAATATATATTTAGCGATAATTATAGAACATTTATACTCAATAATTGTAGAATATTTTTAGTCTTCAATTATTTAGCAATTCTTGTGAAAGTTTGAACTATGTTTATGATGTGGTGTTACTCTCGCTTAAAATGCAGGCAGTTAAGGTTCAATCCAGTACTCAACTATTAGACAAGTCACCATAACAAAGACTGCTGCATTTTTTAAGGTTCAATCAATGGACATGGTGAATTTTTAATTCGACTAATGCCTTTTTTATGTCTATATTGGAAGCCCTTGGTGAAATAACAAGCTCACTGCTGAGGTGCTGAGGTGTGGTATAGTACATTATAATGTGATTCTAATGTCTCATATATGATCTTTAATGTGCTTTGATGTTGCCGAAATAATTTCCTTTTAATATTTAGAGAGGCTGCAAATAAAATATATTAATAAAGCCCACAAATATAACTTATAAATTATTTAGGTTGAACTAAATATTTGCATTTCATTTTGTCCTAATGTAAGATTTACTGTATTTTGAATTTTGTCTCTTTTATTATTATAACTCTATTAATCTTATAAAAAATGTTTTTTATTTTTTATTTTTCACAATTATTTTTTTACAAAATATACATTTAATAGTTTTTCTTACATATAGTTATTTTTAAAAACTTTTATAACTGTCTTTTAATATTTTTTTTCTTTCTTTTTTCTAATAATATTTTGATAATTTTTAATTTGTTTGAATTTCTATGACAAATTGATGAAAATTTCAGTGTCTACACCATTATGCGTTCGAACGCACAAATAATCAGGTTAAAATTTGTGTGAACGCACGAGTAACACATTAATATTGTGTGAACGCATAAATAATTAGACTAAAATCCGTGTAAACACACAAGTATACTTGTAACGTATCAACGACAGATAACAAGATCAAAATCTTTGTGAACGCACGCGTTATTATATTTTTTTTTATAAATTAAATTAAATATATTTAAAATAATATATGAATCTAAACACACATGTCATTTTTTAATTACTTATGTATCTAATATATATATATATATATATATATATATATATATATATATATATATATATATATATATATATATATATATATATATATATATATATATATATATATATATATATATATATATATATATATATATATATATATATATATATATATATATATATATATATATATATATATATATATATATATATATATATATATATATATATATATATAACGTCTGTCTTTAAAAAAATTGAACATTTGATAAAAAAAAATTTATGTTAAAAATATATATTTTTTAGAAATAATAAATTACTTTGGTAAAGTCTTTTTTTATTTTTATATTTTATTTAATTTATATATTTATTTTTGACTAATTTGTTTAGTTTTTATTTTTAAAACTAACTTTAATTATTTATTATTTTATTTAAAATTCAAAATTAAATGGATAACAATTCTATCGTGGAGACCAGAATTTATGCGAATGTACGGATTTTTCAGTGGTACTCATAGGAAAAATTTAAACTTTTCAAAATTTGAGATTTTATGTTTTGAAATTTGTTGCTCTTGAACAATAATTTGAATCTTCCACAATTTTTGATGTTATTGTTCAATTGATTAATAAATCTCTTAGATTTAACATTGTGAATACTTTGGTTTCTTATATTTTAAAAGTTTTATTTTAATTGTTAAATACCGAAGGAAATATGGAATATAAAATATGAAGTCCCATATAAAGCATATAGTATATACTAAGGCAAAGTAACCTATATAATTAACAGAGTCCTCATGACACCCTTGGAATTTGGGGTCCCTGCACAGGGCCGACTCTGCTAAATATATTAGTAAAACAAAGCATGCTAAATGTAGTTTATTAAAATACAAAATTAAAGAATTATAATTTAATTGTCAAGAGTAATTTGAGTTTAAATTAATTAAAAAAATATCTTTGCGTTCGTATGGATTTAGTTGTGGATTGCAGAATTGTCAAAATTTTATTATAGAAATTCAAATAAATTAGAAAATATTTAAATATTTTTGGAAAAAAAATGGACCATAAGATAATTATATAAATTTTTAAAAGCTACAATTGTTAAGAAAAATTATTAAACACATACTTTTTAAAAATCAATTGTGAAAAATATAAAAAAATTAAAATTTTAGGGTTAATAAAGTTATAATAATAAAAGTGTTTATAAAATTTAATACATTAGATAAATAAATATATAAAATTAAAATTATTTGAAAATCAATAGGAAAATAATTTTATAAAAATTTTAAAAAGAGAATGATCTAAAAAAAATTAAATTAAATATTATATTTATTAAATTATACATAAAAGTATTTTAGGTAGCATTCTTAATTATGTTCATAACTATAAATTGTCATTTTAATGTAATGTTAATATATATAAAAAACAAAATTTTAAACATGAGAAAGACATATTTGAATTTAAAAGAAAATAAAATATTTTTAGCCAACATAAAATAGAATTGTAATCTCAATTACCTATAATAAAATAGGATGATACATGATAAAATGAAGTTATACATATATTATCTAAAAAATTGTATCTTAATTAAAAATAATAAATAAAAAATTAAATACATAAATAACAAAAAATATATTAATTGTGCAAAAAATTAAATTTTATATGATTACTCGTGCGTTCGCACGGATACTTGAACCTTCCATATATTATCTTAAATAATTTTATATCTTAAATTAAAAATAAATTTAAAATTCAAATATTAAATATATAAATAATTAAAAAACAAAATATTTATATTGTGTTTGGATTAATATATTATTCTAATTTTTATTTTCTAAAATCATCTTTAACTGTACAAAATATATAAGAATTATCCTTGTGTGTACGAATTTTGATATATATATATATATATATATATATATATATATATATATATATATATATATATATATATATATATATATATATATATATATATAATATTAGTGTGTTATTTATATGTTCGCATGTATATTAATGTAATACGTATATTTTTATTTTTAAAATATAATAAAATATTAATAAAAAATAAAGAGTATTAGAAAACTGAAAACCTCGTTAGGCAATTTATTTCTAATAGTATAAAACAAAGCGTAATGTTTTTGATTTAGAGCATCAGAGCTATTTATAGATTGTAAAAGTCAAAAAATGATCAATTATATAAGATAGATTGGACATTACACTCTTCAATTTGAAATTCACATCAGAATGTAAAGGCATAATAAGCTTATGTTGGTATAACACCGTTGATAATAATAAAATATTAGTTTTCTCAGCTAATCTAATATCTGAAAGGTTAATATTCCAAATAACGTAGATTTTGATTTTCTTTACTAATTGTATTAAAAATATAAAATTTAGAATTTTTTGCCTAAATGCCACATCCTCTAAATCCTATTTTCAAAATGCTATGAACTAAAAATTTTTTTTTTACTGCAGAATACCATATTTTTGGGCTCTTCCGCCATTTCAAATGGTATACAAAATTTATTTTTTTCAACTCATTGAGTTCCTCCATTTCAAATGGCGTAAGACTCTTAAGTCTTTTTTGTCTTCGCTTTTTTATTTCCTTGTTGAATTAATATGAATGTATAGAAAATTTTGTTTATGGGAGTTTGTACTTGTAATTTGACATTATTTAGTAACTTTTTAAGTTTGCCTTACTTTAAATAAAAGATAACAACATTTAAATAAAAGATGAGAATATTTAGTAATTTTTTCATTTCTTAACAGTCTTACAACATTTGAAATGACGAAATTCAATAGATTGACAAAAAAAATAGATTCTTTACATCATTTGAAATGACGAAAAAAATTTACAATACTATATTTCTGAGCTCTTCCACCATTTCAAATGACATAAAAAGTCCATTTTTTTTCAGTTCATTGAGTTCCTCAATTTCAAATGGCCTAAAACTGTTAAGTTTTTTTTTCCTTGCTTTTTTATTTCCTTGTATGCAAAGGCTAACCAAAATTGTATGCTAGTCAGAAGAATATCAGAAGAGTGTATATTAAAATTATAAACTCGAGATCATGCAGTAGAAATCTGACGATGAGACACAAGTTAAATTGCACGTGATGGCTTAAAATTACGACGAAGACCATTTTGGGAAGACATCATTCCTTCACATGCTTGACATTAGAGATGAATATTTTTGTGATTGCATTGAAACCAACCTATACCAAGGATAAAAAGAATATCAAACTCAAAGCCTGTGATTTAAATTCCAATTTTTATCATTCATATCATCACACAACATAAGCCAAATCAAAGCAGCAATACAATTAAGTTAACAAAATCCACTAATTTCATATTCAAATTAGTTTCAATTAACTTATTTTAAGTTCAAAACAGCTTATGGTACAAATAAAATAAATTTAAATTTTTTTTCTCACTATTTTATTGTGTTATTCAACGATTATGAGCAAATACCTTCTTATCCTTGATCTCACTGGACAATATCTTTCCCAAAGAATGCATATTGTGATGCATCAAAAACAACACCTCCCGCAGTTATGTTTTTAAATTTAAATTAGTTATGTTTTTAAAAACCCTTGTCACAAAATCAAAATTCTAACCACAAAATTATCATATCAACTACAAAAACCCTAACCACAAAATCAAAACCCTAATTTTAAATCTGAAATTGAAAAAAGAGATAAGAAAAAAGACGAGGAAGAGAAAGAAAAAAGACTGATGTTTTACATACATTTATTTTTAAAATATAATAAGAATGTAAAAAAAAAAAAATTATTTTATCAAAACATTTTATTATTTATAAAAGAACTTCCATATTTTGATTTATATTATATATAGATTATAAATATAATGCTTCTATATATAAAAATATTTGAATGAACAGTATAATTTCTTGTATATAATATTATTTTTGTTTTAATATTTATTTATAAAATTATTTAGATAAAAAAATTGTTTCCATTTACAAAAAAAACATTTTTCATTAATGATATATATTAGTAAAATGATTACATTAATAATATATAATTTACTTTTTTATATATCATTTTAAAAAATATTGTATTTTAAATTAAAAATAATTTTAAAATAAAAATATTAATAATCTAAATAATTAATAAAACAACACATTTTTCTTATTTGAATTCATATATTATTTTAAATATATATTTTTTATTTTCTTTAATTATATGAAAATATAATAGTTCACGAAAAAGAAGACGATTTTGTAGGCCACCTTACAATTTCCTTTTAAATTTTAGTTAGTTAGTGACCTTATTTATTGACGTGACATAAGATCAAAATGGCATT